TGAGCAAAGCCATCATAGGTCCGCACTCGTGGCTGACCTCCCAGCATAAACTCCACCCATGGCCGGCTCTTCTTGCTAGCCGGGTCGATGTGTGAGAAGGTGGAATAGAACTCCACGCACAGCTCGTGGAAGATCTCCTCGTCCATGGTCAAGAGCTGGCACCACTGGGATGGCAGAGCACCCTAGTCATCGCGGCTCGGGACCTGAACAAGTTGGACATGTCCAGGTCAAGCCGCAGTGAGGCCCAATTGGGCAGGCACTCTGGTTGGCGAACTTGTCGCCAAAGACTGGGTGGTTCACCAGGTAACAGATGAACTCATGCTTCAAGTTAAGCATCTTGCACAAATTGACAAACACGCACCATACGTGGAAATATTCGTCAAATAATGCTCATTGGGAGGAAAAGAGATTTCACCCACACTTATCTTTCCACCATGGATAAAACATTTAAGCTCAAGCGCACAGTGGCATGGTTGTGGGTAATTCACGGTTCAAGCACACAAAAAGTTGAACCACAACCCAAACCACGGTGGCTACCATCCACAAAACAAGAATAAACTCCACTTGCATTCTTAACATAGCACTTGGTGGGCAAATTCTAAAAATAAACACAATTCGTTTCAAACACGCCCACCAAGGCTCACTAAGATCATGCAACAATCAATCCATCATTCAATTGACCTAATTCACCTAATTCCTCGCTCTAAAACTAGATTCAATCATGCAAAGCACAAAATTTCAACCTCACTTCACTACCTAATCCGATTCTCCACAAATCACAAAGGTAAAGTCGAAAAACAAAACTGGAGACCCATGTAGGACTTAGGAGAAAGTGAGGTGCGGGCGAGGACAGTGAAAAACGGTCAGAAAACTGACTGGAGAGGGGTCGCCGGAGCTTCGTCGGAAGCTCGTTGGAGACTCGCCACCGCTGACTTGGCAAGAAAAAATATGCTCCAAATTTCCCCAAAATTTCATCACAGGTCGTGAAGTGAAGAGTCGCCGTTCACGACCCTTTTATAGGCACGGCTCGGAGTTCACGGATGCGTTGCCTAGTTCACGGTCTTGGCAACCGTGAACTCTCAAATGCGTCCGTGAACACGGAGTTGTTGACAAGTGGTGAACATGAATAAGTACCCAGTTCACGGACGCGTTTGCATGTTCACGGTCTTGTAAGACCGTGAACTTAGCAATCCGTCCGTGAACATCAGTGAAAACAGGGTACTTTTGATAAAATTTTGACTCAACCTATTCCTCCGTTCCTCCTAATCGATCACAACACAACCAAAATACCGCAAAACCATAACACTCGGCACGGGGACACCACTTCACCACTCGAACTCTTCACAAGACACAAACGAAAACCAAGGAAAAGAAAACAAACCTCCGTTGGGTTGCCTCCCAACAAGCACTAATTTATCGTCATTAGCTTGACGGTTGGGGATCGATCACTAATTCAAACATGATGCCACCGAGAGCGGATCCACCACACTCTCGGGGCGAGGCTTGTGGCCTCTCATCTTAGGATCCTTGACTTGGCCCTCTTGATTGGCCAACATTGCTTCGGCCTCCCCCTTCTTCCGGGCCAAAGCTCTCTTTATCCTTCGTCTCCAAGCATTCATCCTCGATCCTTTGGGTATAGGACCCTTCTTAAGTCCTGCTCAACATCATCAAAAGCAACACAAGTAAAGGTGGGGCTTTTCCTTGAGAGGCTCTCCTCAACTCTCATTCACATCATTTGAAACTACTCCCTTCACTTCATCACTCCTAACCTTAGGGTCAATTTCAAGCTTGATTCTCTCCTTTCTATCCCTCCAAATTAAGGTCCCCTCTTTAACTTCTATCAATGCCTTGGCAGTGGCAAGAAAGGGACGACCAAGGATAAGTGGCATATCCGAGTCCTCACTTATGTCGAGAATCACGAAATCGGTCGGATGGCAAAACTTGCCCACTCTCACCATCATGTCCTCCACAATACCTCTCGAGATAATGACCGAACGGTCGGCTAAGGTGATGCTAAGCCTAGAGGTCTTGAGTTCACCTAATTTTAACTTTTCGAAAAGCTTGTAGGGCATCACATTAACACTAGCTCCTAGGTCCGCCAAGGCATTGTCTATATGATGATCACCAATATCAAGAGGGTTAGTAAAGCTACCTGGTTCGGACCGCTTTTTGGGCAAGCAGTCGAGGAGGTAAGTCGAACACTCCTCACCAAGAGTCACGTTGGTGAGGCCTTCAAGCTTTGGCTTCTTGGTGAGGAATCCCTTGAGGTGCTTGGCATATCTTGCATTTGAGCCATGGCTTCAAGGAAGGGGATATTGAGGTGGAGGTTGCGGAGCATTTCCATGAAACCTCCACACTCGTTTCCAACCTCTCCTTGTACATCCTTGTGGTATAACGAAGAGGTGGTGTGTATCCATCCTCCGGCAATGCCTTCCTTGCCTCCTTCCTCTCATTCCTCGAGGGCTTCTTCTCTCCCTTCTTCGGGTTGGTCTCTTTTTTCTCCATCGCTTCTTCCCTGGGGACTTCCGGGACCACCTTCACACTCCTCACTTGAAGTGCATTCACCCCGACTTGATCCCTGGGGTTCGTCATGGTTTGTGAAGGTAAGGCTCCTTTGGGTCTCTCGGTGAGGATGCCGACAAGATTACCGATTTTCACTTCCAAACTTTGGGGGCTCACTTGATGGCTTCGGAGACCCGCCTCAACCGAGGTAAACTTGGTAGTCGCCACATCCATAAATTGCTCTATCTTCTCAAACTTTTGAGCACTCGTACTCACAAAGGTGTTCACTAGGTCTTCAAGTTTAATCAGCTTGTGGGGTTGTTGTTGTTGAAACCCTAGGGTACCTTGTCCTTGGTACGGTTGTTGGAAGCTTGAGCCTTGAACTTTAGGTCTTTGTTAGATGAAGGTTGGCTGAGGTTGGAAAACACCAAGTCTAGCACAAACAAAGCACACACACTTGCAAAACTGGAAATTGAAAGCTAGATTAACAACCAACAACTTTTTCAAGATAACAGACCGTTGTCCCCGACAATGGCGCAAAAAACTTGACTCGCACGAAACTACACCACAATATAATCCCAACTAGAGTCCAAGTTTTTAAACTCTGGTCGGGTGCAGTATAGAGCAAGTATTTAGATATCAACCCGGGTTGGTCCGTCTACCCCTACCTCAGTTGTTGTAATCATTATCTAGCAACAAAGTTTTGGTTTAAAGGTTTGCTAATTATAATAAAATAAGGAAAAGGTAAATGGTTTTGAAAACTCTTTTGTGGAAGGATCAATCGGGTGTCGCTTCCCCCTAACTACTACCATTATATGTGAATTGGAACGATTGCCTTAGGCAAGGTAACTGCTAACCGCAGAGGGATGCATATATGGTCGGAGACCACAATCTCAATTGCTAAACCGAGGTAAAAATTAAAGGCCGTGTCACTCGACCCTCTAGGTTTAGGCAATCGGTAGTTGAATTACTCCCTCACTCAACTCAAAGGTCGCACGGCTTAATCACGATTAACCAATTTGCTTAATTCAACATTGAGGGTTGCCCCAAATTAACCTAGTTAGGTGGCTTAAAAAGCTGAAGGAAAACCAACTCGATTGAGTCTCCCTTGGAAGGAGGATTTTCCTCTCTAAGCTAGGTTAAGGTGTCTAATTAGATTGCTAGCACCAACATGCACAAACCTAAGGGTGCTAATCACAATTATGCACAATCCTTAGGTTGCTAAACACCAAAATGCACAAACCTAAGGATGCTAAGCACAAAACATGCACAACCCCTAGGTTGCTAAGCACAAGCATGCATAATCACTATGAATAATACCTCAATCATTGAATTAAACAATACCCAATGACAATCATTCAATTCACATGAAAGAAAACTACATGGTAGAGTTAGGGTTTCACAACACCCAAGTGAAAGGAGATCTACTCCATTCTAGAAATGGGGAAAACAAAAGGAGAAGAGGTGGAAACCATCTTGGAGGATGCTCCCAGTCTTCTTAGCCCTTCTGTTGAACTTTCCTTGGAGGAAATCTTCCCAAAATCCACCTTGAAGCAAAACCCTAGCCTTCTTCTCCCTTGGTTCGTGTTTCTCTCTCTAGAAATCTGAAGAAGGCTCTTCACACAAAGTGGGCTCTCCCCTCTCTCCTCCTTTCAACTCGTCTTTTAAACCAGTTCACGGCCTGAGTTCACGGCCGTGAACCATGAAACGCGTCCGTGAACTTCAGGCGTGCGCAAAAATGCTCCGCTTCGTTCACTTCAGTTCACGGTCAACAACCTTCGTTCACGGTCTTAGTGACCGTGAACTAACCTTGCGTAAGTGACCTCTGCTTTGGTTTTGGACGCCTCGAGGTTCACGGTCAAGGGCTCTTCTTCACGGTCTTGCATGACCGTGAACTTCCTGGGAAAGCCGTGAACTTCCTGGGAAAGCCGTGAACTGGCCATTTTTCACCTCTTCTCCCGGTTTTCGATCCTTTTCGTCCAACTTTTGACTCCGAAGCTGGTTTCACCTGTTAAATCATGAAACACACTAAAACACGAGAAACATAGCGTAAAACCAACCTTTTATGAGCGAATTTGCCACAAACGCCTAAGTAAAACGGGGGTAAAGCATGTCTAGCCACTACTCTAAGAAACTTGTAGCCTGCAGGCGACAAAGAGCAGGAAAGTAATCGTCGATTTCCCCGTATCCAAATTTCGTCCAAGGGCTGACTATAGAGCAATGTTGGCAAACCGGTATATATCGGGTAAATACCACATTTAGTCAGTGAGATTACTAAATCATGTCATATTTAGTCACTAGAAAAAATTAATACCAATTTTGGTCACTCAAATTACTGAAATACGTCATATTTAGTTTCAGTAATTTGAGTGACCAAAATTGGTATTAATTTTTTCTAGTGACTAAATATGACATGATTTAGTAATCTCACTGACTAAATGTGGTATTTACCCGATATATACCGGTTTGCCAACATTGCTCTATAGTCAGCCCTTGGACGAAATTTGGATACGGGGAAATCGACGATTACTTTCCTGCTCTTTGTCGCCTGCAGGCTACAAGTTTCTTTCTTTCCAGCAAACGCAGTGAAACCCAGGAATTCTCATCTTGAATTCCGTTCTGGGTGCTTCCTTACTAGATCCAAGTCGTCAAACGAGCGCCTAAAGTATTCATCTTCTCCTATTAGGCTCGCTTTGATCCGCTTCTGAGATAGGGGCGAAGAAAAATGTACCAGTGGAGGAAATTCGACTTCTTCGAGGAGAAGTATGGCGGGAAGAGCTCGATTCCGGACGAAATCTCCGGTAAGATCTGTTGCTCTTCCAGCGGCAGAGGCAAAGTGGTGATCGGCTGCGACGACGGCACCGTCAGTTTCCTCGATCGTGGCCTCAACTTCAATTCAGGATTTCAATCTCACTCTTCCTCCGTCATTTTCCTCCAGCAGCTCAAGGTTTCCATTTCTTCTTCTTTCTTTGTCCGCATTTCGATTGACTGCGTCTCTTTATTCCAAATTTGATCAATCTATTGTTGGTTGGTTAATTGGTTGAAATTACAGCAACGAAACTTCCTCTTAACTGTTGGTGAAGATGAGCAATTAGCTTCCCACCAATCCGCCATGTGCCTCAAGGTTTTCGACCTGGATAAACCGCCGCAGCAACAGGAGGGAACTAGCTCAGCTGCTGCTACCCCTGATTCCATTGGCGTATTGCGCATTTTCACCAACCAGTTCCCTGAGGCCAAGGTAATGGCGAAATCTATCTATTTACTGTTAGTTTCGTAGGTCGTGGAAAATGCTGAAGAAAAATCATTGAAATGTGGTTGCAGATTACTTCCTTTTTAGTTCTAGAGGAAGCACCTCCGATACTACTGATAGCTATTGGGTTAGACAACGGCTGCATTTATTGCATCAAGGGTGACATTGCTAGAGAGCGAATCCAACGTTTCAAGCTGCAGGTTGATGATGCTTCAACAAACAAGATTCAATCGCCTGTTACAGGTCTGGGTTTTAGAATGGATGGCCAAACCTTTCAGTTGTTTGCTGTGACCCCAGATTCAGTGACTTTGTTTAGCCTGCACAATCAACCACCGAGGAAGCAGACTTTGGATCAAATTGGTTCTAGTGTAAATAGTGTTGCAATGAGTGATCGGTCGGTAAGTGCTTATAATGGCGACGATAGTAGTTCTTTTCTTGTTGGTTATGAGTTAGTGCATACATTTAAACTTTTATGTGTGTGCTTTTGTTATCAGGAGTTGATAATTGGTCGACCTGAAGCTGTCTACTTCTATGAAGTTGATGGGCGGGGTCCTTGTTGGGCATTTGAGGGGGAGAAGAAATTTGTGGGGTGGTTTAGAGGCTACCTTTTATGTGTTATATCAGACCAGAGAAATGGCAAGGATACTTTCAATGTTTATGATCTAAAGAACCGGTTGATAGCTCACAGTATAGTGGTTAAAGAAGTTTCTCACATGCTTTGTGAATGGGGTAACATCATACTTATCATGAGTGACAAGTCCGCTTTGTGTATTGGGGAGAAAGACATGGAAAGCAAGCTAGACATGCTTTTCAAGAAAAATCTTTACACCGTGGCGATCAATCTGGTTCAGAGCCAGCAAGCTGATGCTGCTGCTACTGCTGAAGTTCTCAGAAAGTATGGAGATCATCTGTATAGCAAGCAAGACTATGATGAAGCTATGGCTCAGTATATTAACACCATTGGTCACCTCGAACCTTCATATGTGATTCAGAAGTTTCTAGATGCACAGAGGATATACAACCTTACAAACTATTTGGAGAATTTGCATGAGAAGGGGCTCGCTTCAAAGGACCACACAACTCTTCTCTTGAACTGTTATACCAAATTGAAAGATGTTGAGAAGCTGAATGTTTTTATCAAGAGTGAGGATGGTGTCGGGGAGCATAAGTTTGATGTGGAGACTGCTATTAGGGTTTGTCGTGCTGCCAATTACCACGAGCATGCAATGTATGTTGCTAAAAAGGCTGGGAGACATGAATGGTACCTGAAGATCTTGCTGGAGGATCTTGCCAGGTATGATGAAGCCTTGGAATATATTTCTAGCCTTGACTCTAGTCAGGCTGGTGTGACGGTGAAAGAATATGGTAAAATTCTCGTAGAGCATAAACCAGCTGAGACCATTCAAATACTCATGAGGCTTTGCACTGAGGATGAATCATTAAACAGAGGATCATCCAGCAGTGGCTACTTGTCTATGTTGCCATCTCCTGTAGACTTTCTCAACATTTTTATCCATCATCCTCATTCCTTGATGGACTTTCTTGAAAAATACACCGACAAGGTGAAGGATTCTCCAGCTCAAGTAGAAATTCATAACACGCTCTTGGAGCTGTACTTATCCAATGATTTGAACTTCCCTTCCAGGTCACAAGCTACCAAAGGTCTAGTTCTTTCACTTGAAGCTAGATCAGGGGCATTGACTACTAATAAAAGAGACACTTCTGAAGAAAAAAATCGAACAGAAAGGCGTCGCAAGGGCTTGCTCTTGCTCAAGAGTGGTTGGCCATCTGACCTGGAGCAACCACTTTATGATGTCGATCTTGCGATAATCCTTTGTGAGATGAATGTATTTACAGAAGGGCTTTTGTACATCTATGAGAAGATGAAACTATATAAGGAAGTTATTGCCTGCTATATGCAATCTCATGACCATGAAGGATTGATTGCTTGCTGCAAAAGACTAGGAGATTCAGGTAAAGGAGGTGATGCAACTCTTTGGGGGGATCTGCTTAAATATTTTGGTGAACTTGGAGAAGATTGCTCCAAGGAAGTGAAGGAAGTTCTAACATATATCGAAAGAGACGATATTTTGCCTCCTATAATTGTTCTCCAGACGCTCTCAAGGAATCCATGCCTCACACTATCGGTAATCAAGGATTACATCGCACGGAAGCTAGAACAAGAGTCAAAGCTGATTGAGGATGATCGGCAAGCTATTGAGAAGTACCAGGTTTGCTCTCTACTTTCACTAGTGCACATGGCCCTGGAGACATTCATGTATATCTTTGTCAATTGGAAATATGAACTTATTCTTTTGAAATGTACAGGACGACACAGTGGCGATGAGAAAAGAAATTCAAGATCTAAGGACGAACGCCAGGATCTTTCAGCTCAGCAAGTGCACTGCTTGCACTTTCACCCTTGATCTTCCAGCTGTCCACTTCATGTGCATGCACTCTTTCCATCAACGTTGCCTTGGGGATAATGAGAAAGAATGCCCTGAATGTGCTCTCGACTACAGATCTGTCCTTGAGATGAAGAGAAACCTGGAGCAGAACTCCAAAGATCAGGACCATTTTTTCCAACAGGTTAAGAGCTCAAAAGATGGGTTTTCTGTAATTGCTGAGTATTTTGGGAAGGGGATTATTAGCAAAACCAGCAATGGACCCACAACAACTCTTGGATCAGCCAACACTCCTTCTGGAAATGGATACTGATTCATATCGATTGGTAATTTATTCTTGGGAGTTCACTCTTTCATTGCTTGCATCAAGTATCCTTCTATTTGAGAAAGAGGAAAGCTTGAGGTGTTCTGTAAAGCAAAGCGACAGTTGAGACAAGGGCCCTGATAGGGCATCATCTGGATTCTGTAACGCTGTCTCACCCTGAGATTCATGCTGAAACCTGGATTGTCACCTTTCCGGAGGAGCAGCCAAGGCTGTTGATGGCTTCGCATCGTATGAATTCCCCCTACAGGTGCACTTTTCTCCTCTATTAACCCTTTGAAGATAAGCCTGGAGACTATATAAACCAAAGTCGAATCTTTGCTTTTTTGCATGGTTGTGTGTGTTGGTTCATTGAGTATATTTCGATCTTGCACCGTTTGTAGACGCAATTTAGTTGTCGAGGCTGTAAAAGTTAGCAAAAGATCTGAGGTCTGATTCTGGCTACACCTTCAATACTGCCTTCAATATTAGCACTGGTTGTGGTTTGTGGATAAAGAAATCATTTTTTGCTCCATTTCCCCCTTCATATCTATCTTATTGCATTTGTTCCAAAGCGACAACCAAATCTTTCACTTCCAACATTATGTGATAGAACTACCTGACATAGAAATACTCATCTTTCTGGTGTCGAATACAAGCTGGTTGGCTCCTTCTTACCTACCTGGTTGGTGGATCCTACATGTTCACTCTATCTAATACCAATTCCGTTGTTTCTTTTTTCTCTGTTCTTTCCGGAGGTCTGTTGTTTGTCCTCCCCTGCTGGGGATAGCTCTTGGGTTTTTGTTCTGCCCTGGGATGGGTCTGTTCTGTTTTGCTTTTGTTTTCTCTTGTTTCCTTCTCCCTAATTGTAAACTCTTTCCAATTAATCCTACCATAATTGCTTTTGGCTTTAAGTGGGGAAGAGAGAGAGAGAGAGAGAGAGAGAATGCAATGGGAAGATGTTGTAAGCTTCATAATTAGTGATCCTGGGTATTAACTAATAAATATTCCCTCCTATTTTGGTATCTTATCTGATTATGATTATTGACTTTATGTTGGTGCTAATTGGTCTTTTTTTTTATCTTGGGTTTCACGATGATGTGAGTTCGATGAATTAGTGGCGACTCTTGTAAATTCAAGCTTGATCAGAACATAGCTACTGATAGCTGCTTATCTGTACTCTTTGTTTAAGCTTGATCAGACAAATAATTGTAGTTAATATCATTCTTAGTCCATATGCTGCATTGTTTTAGAAGTGCAATGAATTTTAACAAATGAGTACCCTTACAATATCGTTCATCCGGTTTCAGTTCCTCTATCAGAGCTTTCCCCAAATTGATTACTAACATTTCTCGTTGTGGTGGAGTCCGGGTAGTTGGTGGGATAAATGGTGTGGATTATTCCAGAGTCTCCATTGCAGATTTATTAAAATGATGCAGTTCTTGAGTGGCGGCACGATGAGATTTTGTCCAGCGGAGAAGATGATAATGGTAAATGTCAATGATATTAGGTGGAAGACGAAGTGATACACGAGGCGGCCAAATAGATCATAGTGGCGCTGGTTAGGTAGAACTTTGGGGTAAAATTGTCATTTCGATCTAATTGGTTAATGGTTCAACCAAAACTAACCGATTTTGGATGGAAACTCCAAAATATGAGAGGGGTATGTTTGGTAAGAAATTCTAAGTAGAGGAGCATATTTGACGTAAAATATAGTAGAGGGATACATTTGAGAAAAGTTCATAGTAAAGGGGTGTATTATGCAAACTCTAATTTGATTGAACTGTCACTTATATGGGACAAATCCGCAGTTTGTCCTTGAGTCAACCGGCCCTATTGATTGTTTCAACTCCATTCACTCCAAATGACTTACCTGTCCTATAGATGGGAGGAGAAGTGAGATTTGAGAGGCTAATAGAAAGGAAAGCACAAATTCTCAAGATACTTGTTAACAAATTAAAGATAATGTGACGTGTTCAGACGATGTAGCAAGCTAGTCTCACTAGCAAAGACAGGACTACAGACTACACTTACCTAGTATGTCCTTTGTCCTCGTTCAGTTGTGTCGTGTCTTTGATTTTCAATCTTGGATCTATATCATGGTGTATGTGATCTATCTCTATTTGAACAAATATATGGTTATCTTTAGTAAAAAAAAAAAAGTAGAAAAAAAAATTCACATTTGCATGTTGGAGTGGTGAGAGCGAAGCAACGGCTGCCTTGGGACCCAAGGACAGAGCCGAATCAAGGATGAGGGGTAAGAAGTATAGGTTCTTTCGCTTCCAGCTGGCGGATAAATGCAACAGCTTCCCCTCTTGGTTTGTTAGAGTATACTATTATATGGAAAGAATGCCCCATTTCAGTCTATTGGGACCTAGAAAAGATACGACCTTTACTTTCTTTCCTCAACTTGAATATGGCTAAAAGCAGGGGAAGAGTTATAGCAAAGCGATTGATTTCTTTCTCATTTCGAGGAAAGAGTGTGGGAAAAAAGGGAAACAACAGAGGGTTCCGAGCCGGGAGCAGATCGGATGAGTAACTGATGGGTGAGTAACCCATCAGTAACCCCCTCTCCTCTCTCCACGTGTTAGTTACTTTTTTTATTTAAATTAAATGCTAAAGGGTAGTAAGGTAAATTACACTTATTCCCTCTTCATTGCTGACACGGACTTTTGACCGACCACATCAGGACCTCCTTCTCTTTCCTAGAAAAACTTTTAATTTTCCTTCCCTTAATCTTTAACGGACGATTTCTCACTCGTTTTAAGTCGAAATTTAATTTTTTTTGCACAGTTAGATCAGATTAATTATGCTCTTCAAAATAATATCCACTTTGATATTGTTTTGACACAAAAAAAAATTTCCAGTTATTACCAGTCTATACCATATGGTATCGACTATACCATAATACCATATGGTATTGACTAGTATTAAATAAGAGCATACCATATGGTATGAATTTGCCACATCAATATATATTTTGTTACCACCCAATACCATATGGTATAGTGTGGTAATATCAATATATATTTCGTTACCACCCAATACCATATGGTATAGTGTGGTAATATTCAATATATATTTCGTTACCACCCAATACCATATGGTATAGTGTGGTAATATCAATATATATTTCGTTACCACACAATACCATATGGTATAGTGTGGTAATATCAATATATATTTCGTTACCACGCAATACCATAAATTACCATAGGGTATAGTGTGGTAATATCAATATATATTTCGTTACCACCCAATACCATATGGTATAGAGTCATAATATCAATATATATTATCTAAAAGGAAAAAAAAGAAGGAGGGAGAGAAAAAAAATCGTCTTCTGATGCCTCTCATTTCCTTTCCCCAATCAAGAACACCAAAATGCCAAAAAATGAGAAAGATCGGAATTGAGTCCAACGAGTTGATGAAGAGAAGAAATGCAATAAAAGAGAGTGACTATAATTTTTATGCTAGAGAAAAAAAATGAAGAAGAAAGAGAGCAGATCTAGATTTGAAAATGAGATTGTGAGAGAAAAAGTAAGAGAGAAGGAATAGAGAAAGAGAAAGGATCTGGAAAGAGATTGTAAAAAAGGAAGAGAGAAGGAAGAAATGTGAGTTGCAGAGACAAGACTTCTCTCTCTTTCATTGAAAAAGCCAGCATTGAAATGCGGAATAAATAAAAAAGTAAAAATACAAAAACGGACAAAAATGCCCCTCAACACCCCCCATCCAGCCCAGCCACACGATTGCTCCATCCCCAAATCTACGGTCCGCGTGTGATTACTGATGGGTCAGTAACCAGTGGTTACTGACCCTATCTTGGGCCTTCCGAGCCAGCCTAAAGGTAGGAGGTGCGGTCTCCCTAAAATTTTGGAATTCGGTAAAAAACAAACATGGGTAACAATATACAATGTTTCTGCAGTGTCCTAATGGTTGAAGAAAGACTCTTTAGTTTTGCTGTTCAACCAAGGGATTTTCAACCTTGTTCTAATTTTGCAAGTTGACTATCTTGCTTGATTGTTTTGTCCTTACTATTATTATCCAAATTTTCAATTACAACCCCGATAAATAATATGTTGCGTGATAAAATACATCGAATCATATATATCATGATGTTTTGGTTATGTGGTATAAAAAAATTTATGTACACTTTAAAAGTGAAATTTTCTTTTATAGATGTCTTTTTAACTATTACTTAGGCATAAAAGAAAAAATCTCTAGCCCCTCCTACCAGAAAATCCTGGCTTCATCGCTTGATTCATGCTCAATTTTCACTTTTTACCCCCGGTTTCCTTAGTCAATTGAGGCATTTTTACTCCGGGAGGTTTGGTTTTACGTTGTGTTTTGTCTCGATGTTGTGCATTTCAGTCTATAGTAGGTGGAGCCAACCCCGGAGTCGAAAGTTGGACGAAAAAGAGCTTTTTCGGGTCAAAGGATGAAGGCAGTAGATGATCATGGTGGAAGTCGTTAGTTCACGGTCATGGTGACTATGAACTAGAGCCGCAAACCGTAAACAACCAGGCGTCCAGGGACATTTTTGCTTTCACTAGACTAAAGCCAGTTCACGGTGGTAAGACCGTGAACCCAAGCCGCAGACCGTGAACTGGATTATTGAGACGGCGTGTTTGTGGCCTGGGATCACGGTCCACGCCTTGAGTTCACGGCCATGAACTGGGACCGTGATGTGAGCCCGACCTAAGTATAAAAAGGGGTTTGGGTTGAAGGAGAAAGGGGAGAGACCTAGTGTGAGAAATTTCTTCTTCTTCTTCTTCTTCTTCTTCTTCTTCTTCTGCTGCTGATTTCTGGACTAAGAAAGTGACGAACCAAAGGAGAAAAGAAGCTAGGGTTTCATCTTCAAGCAAGATTTTGGGAATTCCTTCTCCAAAGGAGGATCTCTTCAACACAAGGAGCAATGCTAGCATCTCCATGATGGTTTTCCTTCTTCTCTCTCGTGTTTCCCTTCTCCTAGCATGGAGTAGTCCATTATTTCACTTGGTGTTTCTAAACCCTTGCTATAATTATGTGAATGTTTGTATGGATTGAATGATTTGTGTGTGGATGTGTTTTAATATGAATTTGGAGGTATTTTCATGGAAGATTGTGCTGTGTGTTTGCCAATCAATCTAATTGTCATTCTAACCTAGGTAGAGAGAAAACCCCCTTTCTTTGAAAGTGGCTTGTAAAACTGGGTTTTCTTAGGAAAATCTTGTCTCCTATCTAGGTTAATGTAGGGAAATCCTCTTTGTTCGTATTAGCACCTAGGGTTGGTTGTAATTTGGTCGCCCGAACTCTGATTCGAGGGTGAAGTCATGGTAACCCTTAGTCGATAGGTCAAGAGAGTTGCTTTGGTGGCTTGAATGAAATTCCCTTGACCTAGAAACCGAGAGAATGGCTTTTTTCCACTTGTTGCACTTTCCTACCATTTACAACCTCCTTACCACACGTATTCATTAGATTCGACAGGTCATAATTGCTAGCTAGGGGGAGCAACACCCGGGTGAAGTCTTCTCAATTAGTGTCAAATCCATTTACTTTTCCAAACGTTTTAATTGATCTAATGAATACGTGTGACGTGCGAACCATCCACATCTAGTTGGCTTGCCTCGAACCGTTCTCTCAATCTCACTGCTCCTCTAACTAGTTGTTATTGATCGGGTTCTCGCTCATTCCTTTACTAAGACTTGGTGAGTGAGATAGGGTCAGTCTACACCCTTAAGTTAAAAATATCTAGTACTTGAATACTTTACTTAAGACAATTAACTTAAACTAGTGGAAGTTGTTTGTACTTCCACTCTTAAAACTCTTAACTCTTAAAGCTATATGGGAGCTCCTGTTAATCTCCATTCTTAAAGCTCAAAATTCAACTTAAATACTTGACCGACACGGGGATCCCTCACTAGGTAGTCTGGTTGCCCAACTCATACATATGAAAGCCATCTAGACTTTCCTTAAACTTAAACTTAGTTAGCGGAGTCATAACAATTCATCCCCCTAACATCTTAAACTTATCGTGGTGGCTCTTCACCATGATTATCAAAAGCATAACTGTTACTCATCTTAATAGTCTCAAGAGCATAACTGATGCTCTATCTCAAAATCTCAAATGGCAACGGACTGGCGCTAGTGACTAAAAACTCTTAAAACGATTTCACCTTCTTTAAAGTGAAGTACTTCATAAAAAGAACTTATTTCTTAGAGGAATTTTACAATGTTATATAGTATTGGTGCTATAGGTTTTTG